ACAATTTTTTTTGAACAATGATTGTGTGATTTTTCTACATAATATGTGGCAGATATATGCGGGTAGGGACTATTTGTCATTTCAAGTATTAATTATTTTGATATAGAGTATTACAAAGTTAGAAAAAAGAAATAGATGGAATGAATTATTTGACAACATCTTTTTAAATAATGCCTGCTGAATGAATACTCATGATAATCTGTCGAAGTTTTAAATCTATATGAACTATTGAGACTTTTATTTTTTATTTTTTTTCAAATATAAAGTATATCAATTTGTAGATGACATTAAATTAATGTACTTATCAACATTCTTTATTTACAATAGAAATAATACTTCTAAAAAAAAAAAAAACAAACTAATTATTTTTTTTTCGACGTTTAATTTATTTATTTTAATAAAAATTCATATTAATGAACATTGTTGTTTATCTCGAAAAGGATTATCTTTTGGTGATTGAAATCCAACAACAAGTGCATCATTTGATTGATGATCATTTATATAACGAATAAGATCTTTACAAACAATTGAAACTTTTATACGTTCACGTTTGGCTTCTTCACGTAATTGTTCACATAGACGACGTTGAGTAACATAAGCAGTTTGTGCATGATCTTTAATAGGCAAACAAAAAAAAAAAAGAAAAAAGAAAAGTAAGAATCTATCTCATTATAAAAATGTTATAATCTTTTCTAAGATATGAAACAATCCAAGACTTGGTTCATTTTTTTTTGCTTAGATCTTATTACTTGTCTTTACGTTGAATAGCGTAAATAATGAATATATATATATTTTTTTTAATATGTATAATTCATTTAAACTATCTGTTTCAGTTGTAAAGAGAAAAACGTCAAGGTGAAAGAGTCTCTATGGCATATGAATGCACTTCGAAGATTCCCGATTTTCTATGTAGGGTGCTTTACATCATAATTAGACAAATGTAATTAATAATCTATCCATTTGTTTGTCTTTTTAAATAAGAAGAAAAAATTATACTTACATTCAGGTGCATACGAACGAGATGATGAAAAATTGTCTGATATATGTCGATTTGGAATAGAGTCATGTGTTGATGAAATTGGAGTAAAACCACTAATATTGTTACCTTGTAGAATTGACATAGGAATGATTTAAAATATTGAAATTAATGATGATTAATTAAATTGAATGTTTATTTTTTTGATTATATTTTAAATTGAGATATATGTAGATAAAGTTTTTTTAGAGATGATAATATAAATTTATTCTATGAATAAATATTGATGTTTTGTCTAGTTTTCTTTTTTTTCTTTGTTTCCTGTAAGTATCTGTAAGTTAAATCGGACTGTCGTGTTTACTAATATACTTTAGGTATCAGATTGTCATAGCACTAATAAAAAGTTTGCGCGGTTTCCTGTCTCTTATGAGAATAGAAATAACAAAAAAAAAAAAAAAAAAAAGGGGGAAGAAAAAAAAAAAAAAAATTTTGTGGTGTTTTTTTTTTTTTTTTTTTTTTTGCTTGTTCCTCTTTTTTTCTTTTATGAAGATACTAGGAAAAAAATGTTCGCGCTCTTTTTCTCATCAAAAATAGACTATTAATAAATGATGTTAATCCTTCCCTAGCATGCTTATTTCTAACAAATATCTAAATGAATAATATCAAAAAAAAAAAAAAGATTCGAGCTTATTACCATGATTTTACAAACATCGAATACATCATAAATGTGACATAATTAGACGAATTATGGTAAAAATTAAAAGAATATTAACATCTATTAATATTACACCAGTATTTATAACACAATCTTATAGATCAATTCTCATTTAAAAGTTCTCTTCAGTAATAATCGAAATGATTAAAATATTCATGATAATAGGGAACTCAGAAAACAAAATCCCGTTCTAACAGTCAAATAATCAAGCGTTAATGAATATTTTTGTAGAGTCAGCACGTTGCGATCAAGTTTTTTTTTTTTTTTCTTTATTATCCATTTAGTTGTTTGTCAAAAATATGAATGTTCGTATTTATTATTAATAGCCGTAAAAATATGCTAATAATATAAAGTTTTCTTTTTGATATGAAGAAATTTTTCTAATGATTTTATTATAAAAACAAATATATATATATATATATATTAGCATGTAATATTCAATGAATCTTATTGAATATTAATGTTGTCAAATTTAATTAACAATACTATGCTTATGTTTTGTTTTTGTCCATCATAAAAATGACGTTTTTTTCTTTCGTAATAAAATATTTCATGATAAGATTAATCAAAAAATAATGATAACAGGAACTTTTTTTTGTCTTTAATTCTTCCTTTGGATTAAGATATTGAAAGAAGGATAATGACTTTTTAAATTTAAAAAAAACAAATGCGTCATTTATGATATCCTTCTTCTTTTTCTTTTTCCTATAAAATTATTTAAATTAGTCAACATATTTTCTTCCGAAGAAAAAATAAAAGCAAACTGAAAAATAGAGTTATGATTTACTTTGAAATTTCCGAAAAACATTTCTCGATCAAATCGATATTTACATAAGAAATATTCTTTTATTTGAATAATAAATACATATTGTTAAAATTTTGATTTTTTTTTGTAAATAATTTCTAGATTAAATATTATTAAACTAAATAATTGTTCAGCTCTTTTTGTTTTTTCTATACATCGAATAAAATACTATTTGAAATTATTATATAATTTCAATATTCTATAGAATATTTTTCATTGAAGATAAAAACTAGAACAAATAAAGATAACATATATATTAAATTGAATGAAACAAATCATGTTTTGAGTATTGACATAAGTATTATAAATTTAAGGCGCTTATCAAAAATATAATTAAATCTCTTAAATCGATTTAAATATAGGTCAATTGTTATATATAAGAATATAAAAGTAGCAAGAATGCTTTAGAATGTAACAAAATATGATATATTTATTTATTTTTCATTCCTGATTATAAATGATTTAATATTGTTATAGGTGAGAAATATTTCACTTCTAAATGCACTCGTTAATCTCACATATATTTTAGAATGATAGGAACAAAAAAATTGATATACTGATTACAGTTACTTTTCCATGATAATTAATTCTTCATTTTCTGCGTCTATTTTTTTTTCTAGTGTTATTATCCTTTAGATCCATTATATGATTAAAAGGAATAAGAATGCAACATCTGGTATACAGCAATTCAGTATATTAATATGTTAATTTCATAGTGAGTTATATTCTTGCTTGTTTGCATGAAACAAGATTAATAACTCAACTGAATAGACAAAATGACCAAACTTTAATAAAAGTTATATCGCAATCATGTATTGATACATTCAACTGAAACTTTCAATAGTTGAGTCATAAGACACGTAACACTAGGCTGCGACCTATACAAACAACTCAATTCATCACTTCATTCACCTGAATTCAATACGAGTTAGTATAGTTGACATTCATTTCAAATAAACAGTACAATCAATTAATTCAGAAGAGAATTGAAAGTAACACTCTATTATGTATGTAATATGATATCACTAAAACAAGTCATCTAATAGAATCATTCATATATCCTTCTTTTATCCAAGAAGAAGCCGGCAATTTCATCTAGTAACTATTCCCAAGTCCGTGTAGCGGCGCCATAGGTTGGCTACCGAGAGAAACTCTTCAACTGATTAATCGCTTTGGAGTATGAACTCCGTATACCATGTAGATCCTAATAAGCTATGAATATTCTGAAAACAATTCGGATCCTTAGCTTATTACTGCTGAGATGCTACATTTTTACGACATTTTTTAAGCCGATACGCCGTTGTCCCCTTAGGAACATGCAAGAAAAACTCATTTTCAAATTGCAACTTGAAACTTTGCATAGAAACAAGCGCTAACGAGAACAGTTTCCCATGTCAATTGATATTTCTATCTTTATTGTCATCGTGTACAGCTACACATGAATCGTAATTTCATTATAATACGACTGTATTAGTGACCACAGAATACGATCCATTTATATATCATAAATTAACCGTAAACAACCTTATACGGATCGTATAGTTCAATCTAAGTTATTGTGAAAGTTTCAGATCTTTTGATTTGCTTCTTTTCTGAAATCTTCAGTCAGTCATTACGTATTACCGTCAAATGCCGTTTATTATCATTATCAGCCATTGTCATCTTTCGATCAGGAGTGTTCCTCCCAAGTTGAACGAACAGTTAATTTACGATATGTAAACGGATCTGATTATGTCAGTAATACGGCTCATATATACAGCCGTATACGATGAAAATACAGATAATTGTATCAATCAATATTAACTTATATTTATCTATCATGTTGTAGTCGATCAGTAGTGACAGCATCTGGAAGTGTTTAAACATCAATTATCCTATCATACACTAATATTTCGAAGACTCAGCTATTCCTATGAAAGTTTGCGATAATCATCACTTTGAATCAATACTCTTAAGGATTGATGAAATTTGTATTCGTGAGGAAACTACCTCAGTTGTAATCGACCGTTTGAATTCATATTGGACCTATAAGTAAGTCTCGATAAGATCCCAAAATGGTTCTTGTCCATGAGCCTCTAGAGTCGAGTTATGACCGTTTTACTGAATTTTTGATCCATCTTCATGTAATTTTCTAATTACAAATGCCAACAAGATAAAAAGAAAATACAAAATAATACCATTATTTTTATGATGCATTAATTATATTAATTAAATTTTACACACTAATTTATTTTTGTCTTTTTTTTTTTTTGAAATTTCATATAACACAATGAGCAACAAACAGAAAACAAACAAACAAACAAACATAGAATGAGTGTGTGTGTATGACTAGAAACAAGATTTGTCATTTTATGTATATATATATATATATATTCTTTTCTATACATTTAACATCGATATATTCATGTAAAGAAGAAAAAAAAAGCTGGGGTCATTTTTTGACAAAAGGAATTAATCCGAATACTAAAACAAAAGAAAGAAAAAGAACGGATTTAAAAATGAAATTAAGTTTGAGGTGGTGTTTGTTGATATTGTCCTTGTTGATAAGGTGTATATTGAGGTTGCATCATCATTCGTGGTGGTTGATTTTGCCATTGTTGTTGTTGTTGTTGCATATGATAAGTTTGTTGTGGATGATACATTTGTTGTTGTCCAGCATAGTTATTATATGCCATTTGTTGTTGTTGTTGATTTGAAACAAGATTTTGTGTATTTGTTGCTTGAGAAGGTGAACTTGATGATGATGGTTTAGGTGATGATGGAGCTTGAATAATTGATTGTTGTTGATTATTTAATGGAGAATTTGGTTTAGCTATTTGATTTGAAGGAACAGACATGCCTGGATCTTAAACAAAAAAAAAAACCTTTAGATGTTATTCAATGTGTTAAAAAATTTTTTTGTTACTTTGTTGTTGATGATACATTGAATAATGTTGTTGAGGCATACCACCATTTGGATGATGTCCATAACCATTTTGTTGTAATGTATATGCATGTTGTTGTTGTTGTTGTTGAGGTATATATGATTGTTGACCTTGAATATATGAAGATTGTGTTTGTCCAGTTGATGAATGATCCATTGGAGTACCATTCATAACTCTACCTTGTTGTTGTTGCATCATTGGTTGTGATGGTAAATAAGGTCTTGGTTGTTGTTGTTGTTGAGACATTGAAGATAAATGACTTGATGTTGGTTGTGGTGTTGGTGCTTTATTCATAACGGGATTTTGAGGTGAAATAGATGATGTTATTGGACCAGATGGTGATGGTGACGGAATTGAACCAGCTGGTGATCGTTGTTGTTGAAGTGATGGAGGCATAGATGAATTAGTTGTTGATGTATTTGATGGAGGATAAAGACCACCAGCACTATTACTACTACTACTACCATGTGGACTTTTATTTAATGTTGATGAAGGAACATTCGATGGAGCTGGACTATTTGTTTGTGCTCGATACACTTAAAATAAAATAAAAATATTCATGAGAAAATCTCTTCAATTAACATATTCAGCCTGATGTGATCCACTGGTACGTCACACTATATTTTAAGAAGAAACTGTATAGAAAATCGCTTTCTGTTGTCTTTTATTTACTCATAGCGTAAATACTGAACAGTTTTTAGTGATAAACCGCGGTTTTTCCGAGCATTTTTATGACATGGGAATAGACAAGAAAAAAACATTTAAAATAGCAAAATCAATGATTTGGAGCAACTAAATGTCAATGATCATCTGTGAACCGGTCCATTTTAGCAGTAAACCATGGTTTTTATCACATGGGTAGGCAGGAGGTTGCATATAATGTGTCGCCTTCTCTGTCTTCAGTACTTTTTGAGTTCTTTATTCCATAGCATGATGCCTCTCGTTGAAATCATCAAGACAAAAGAAATTTGTTACAGTCAGCACAGAAGGTTTTTATTGTCTTTGCTGTCAGCATGCTCACTTCTCTTGATTGTTGTTTCCCCCTTCAGACATTGCGCGTAAATTCTTGCTTTTCTTCTAGCTTGTTGATTATTGTCTCGGACCAGGTTTCAGCTTCTCAAATGGCGTACCAAGGAGTAAAGACCGCACGAGACTCTCATGAAACCACAGAATGATCATGTCGTTTGCAGCATCATTTTTCTTGTAAATCAAATAATTATTAATTAGTGCGGTTTCAAATACTACCTTGTCTTTCCTCGTTATAATCTAGTACAACTTATGGCTTTCCAATAGGCTCATTTCGTATATTGTTTTTTCCAGTGTCCACTACAATTGCTGAATACGACGGTCTTGCGAATATCATCAAAACATCTCTTTTATCTTTCCACTTAATTAACTATAAGCATGTTGGAGAATACCAAGTATGACGTAAACGAATATATTATTAAGAAAAGTCCACTATAGAACATGTGATGCATAGATATAACTGTCCATATGATATAGCAATCAGAAAAAAGAAAACAACGAGCCAGTATAGAATGAAAAGAATAATGAATACACACAAAAATGAATCTGTTAGAGCTATTCTGCAATAAAACTGAATCGAGCCAAATGTGTTAATCATACTCGTGTATTCGAATTCTTCTTATAAAATATCGAGAGATACCCAAACATCGTACTTTGATACTCTCAATGAAATTTTCAAGTCGCCTCCAAAGACAAGATACTTTTTTCTATTCATCTCACGATAGAAGTATCCGTTTGAAATGAAAAAGGTTTAAGGGCATGAATCCTATTAGAGTGTTCATTTAAATTATATGCTCGAATATCGAGTATCAATATACAAAATTTTATTTACTTTGTTCAGGAGTTGATGTTGGTACACCCATTTGATTCGGTTGCATCATATTATTTCCCTAGAATGATGATAACAAGAATAATAAATCATCTTTCCTTGGAATATTTTATATCTACCATCATTGTTTGTTGTGTTTGAATGAATGCATCGGGTGGCTAAAATTTATAAACAAAAAATAAATCGTTTGTTTTTTGTTTTGTTTTAATGAATACTAACAGGTAAACTATTTGGATGATGTGTTTGTGTAACATCAAATTGTGTTAAATAAGTTAAATTTCGATGTAATGTTCGTTGATATCTAAATTTTCATATATAAAAAATTTCTTTGTTTTAGTTTTTAATTAAATAACTTACTCAATACTTTCCATTTGTCGTCCTTTAGATTGTAAATCAAGTATTAATGATATTAATTGAGAATTATCATCAAGTAACTAAGAAAAAAAAAACAACAACGTAGTATATAAAACAAGAATATTATATAATATTACTTTTTGAATAGTTGGTTTTTGTTGTTGAGGCATTGGAGCCATCTGTTGTTGAGAATACATTGTTGAAATCATGCACAAATAAAAAAAAAGAGATCAATCCAAAAAACAACACAAGAAAAAAAAACAATATGAAGTTCAATAGAAAGAAAGACAAGATAAATTAACCAATGAATGTTTTAAAGATATTATAAAATATGAAATAAATTTTCGAAGAATTTATTTATTCAATCGAAAATTTTCTTAAGCAAAAAAAAAAAAATTTTTTTGAATTATAAAAACTAAAAATTTATAGATGTCGCCGTATTTGACAACAGTAGATTAACAAATAAACATTTGTCTACCTTTTTATGATAATTTTTAACAAAAAAGAAATGAAGAATATTTAATATTGGTAAGAAGAAACAAAAATATTTTTTTTAATTTAAGTAGAATATTAAGAAACTCAAAGAAAAGAGAAATTTCGTATTTTAATAGAATTACAACATCCATATGATTTATTTTGGAAGAGTTCGTTAAGGTCCATCATCCCGTCAGAAATCAAGATTTCCATCAAAAATTACAACTTTAACGTAATTAGATAATTCTTAATGTCTAATACGATTTACCGAATATATTATGTTTTTTTACGGTTTGTTTTTCGCATTTTTCTATTGATATTTATTTAGCAGATGTGCTCACACTATGGACAAGTATCACATTTTCATATCAGAAAATGGAAGACTTTTAATGTTACTGTATATTCACTATGGAACATCGACTGAATGAATATTTTATTTATTTTTTCTCGTTTCTGTGTTAAAGGTGTTTTGACTGTGTTTAACATATTAGAAAGTTTGAGAAGGTTTTGAAATTGAAGAGAAAATTTTACTTGAGACAAGTTAATAGAGTTGCAATTTTCATTTTCAAATTACTTTTTTGAAAAAAAAATGTATGTTTTTTCGTAGAGACACCCTAATTTTTTGAGATAAAAATTTCGTCAGAAGTAATGAAATAATATTTTGAAATATTCGACTCTGTTAAGTTGTAGCAGCATGTCTTAGCTTAGTAAACAAGTATTTTTATCTTTTAGAATGAGAAAATCTAATCAATTAGATTAAAAACATCAATTCATTGATTGTAAAATTATATCTCAAATATTAAAAATCTATATTGTTTTAGTTCAAACAATAATAATTCATCTTATGTTATGTTTTATACTATTAAAAAAACCATCATGAATTGATATTCTTATTAAGTAACAATTGAAGGATGTATTTTGTAACTTAAGAACATTAAATAAATGAAAGACTTTACCGGTTAATCAAAAAAATTTCAAAATATCCCTTACTTATGACATATATTCGAAAATTTAAGGTATTTACAAGTATATGTTTCCTGTAAGATCAAGTTTATTTTTTGGTTTTGGTAATTTTTTTATATCGATCCGAGTCGTAGTGTGGGGTAGTACCCCTCTGACAATTGAATTGACCGTCGAAGAGTCTATGATTATTGCATCAAACACTATGTATTTAATTTACAGCAAAATTTTAATTTCGAATGTTTTAATCATTCGAAAAACATATTACATACTGTATAACTAATACAAATATCTTTAACTTTATTGATATTAGATATAAATACAACACATAAAGGATGTCCAGACACTTATTATGAGCATCATCTTTTTGGCGAAATTTTGAAGCTTTGAGGAAACATTTTTAAATAGAAAATGAACTGAATCAATCAGTTGAATTATAATTGAAGATTACGCTATTATAGTTAGCTCTATCTATTTTCTAGAGCAGTAGTATGAATGCTATTCGATTAAATACAAAAGCGATAAAAAGAACTTTTATTTTGAGATTTTGAGTGCTAAAAAATCTGGCTTTGGATTTTTATGGCAAATCCCAAATTGTTACTAACTTTTACTAAACATCTGAATGTCGATTCTGATTTTTAACAAAAATAACAGACCAGTAGATATCAGATATAAAAAAAAAACGAAAAATGTTATTTCGCTGATACTAATATGTTTCCGGTTACGGCAACAGCGACTATTTGTTCTTTCCTAATGACGCACTCTTACGATCACCATCAAGCTTAGTCTCATCTACTCTCAAGATAGTAAACTTCTGATTTTTTAGTTATTCTTAAAAAGATAGAATTCAAAAGAACAGATAATTATATTCATATTAGTTCAAATTCGTAGGATTTTTTCCAATTTGTAAAAATTGTAAAGTTTACAATAATTTTGAAATACATAGATTTTAAAATTAGTGCTAATTCAAGATTTGACTGTCCTTGCTTTTTTTAATATTCATTTCTATTTTTTGATATATTTATTTAATGAAAAGCAGCGATATATTTGAACAAGCAGACTTCGAAACAGGTCGCTCGGCCCAATGATTTTATCCTTTTTTGAGATTTGACTCACTCCTGAGCAAGGCTCTCAATTATTTTTGAGAGTGAAGAGACATTTTTCATAAACTTTCGCAGACAGTCTGTTAACGCAAGCGTTTCAGAAATAGCTACCGAAAATTTTCTAGTTTTTCATAAAAACTGGCGACTGGTAGCGCGCCACTTTCCGTGTTTCATAAAAAGTCATGATCGAGTTTAAGAGGAGGGAGGGTAGCTTTGGAAAGATTCCCCTATCCTCGTTCAGGGATGAGCCAAATCTTGGACAAAAGTTTCATACACAAAAACAACACCGGGGCCAAATGGGGAGGGGAATAGCTTGCGAAGATCCCCGCACAGCGTCTATTTAAAAATTTGCCAGACAGTAAAACAGATTTTTAATTTGTGCGGGGAACCAGCCCCCTAGTCTCTCCTCACATCGAGAGCCTGGCTCCTGAGAGAAATAGAGGGAAACTACTCCCTCTTGGTCCTCACTTTTTATAAGAGCTGAAAAATATGGAATAGCTGTCTATTGAGAAAAAAAAATCTTTATAAACGAAGTTTCTTTTGGGCCGAGCCATAAAAAAGTGGCTCGATTTCGAGGCCTACTTTCTAGAAAATACCTGTTTTTTTTTAAATACTGCACGCCATTTGTGTATGGCTCCCTAAATCATTCGAGTACGAATATGTCTCAATTTTATTTTTGTTTTTCAGATGTATATTCGTCAATATAATTCTCGTTTATATCTATCTTTATTATTTAAGCATATTAAAAATCTCTCAACAACATCATCAACTATTCTTAAACCTTATCCAAGTTATGTTGAACGTCAATTAGATGTTGTTATAAATACATCAACAGGTGATGAATTTGTTGAAATTGATCATGAAACAAAACTAAAAGTTGCTAAACCAACAACATCAATTCGTGCAAATATAAATTATATTGATACAAATCCATTAGGTAATAAAAATCAACCAATTGTTTTACTTGTTCATGGTTATCCTGGTACATATGAATCAACAAAAAATTTTATTGAAGAATTTCAACGAAGAAATTTTCGTTGTATTGCACCAGATATGCCTTGTTAGTTAATTGAATTTTATTTTTTGTTAAAAACAAGAAAGATTATTATTTAATTTAGATTGTGGAAAAACAACAATGCCTTTATGGAGTGGAATAATTTGGAGAAATTCTGTTTATTTACGTGCAAGATTTCTTGGAGAATTACTTAAAAATATAATGCAAGATAAATTAATGTGAAAAATTTATTTTTTTGGAGAAATTTTTAGTATTTTTGTTTTTTTATATAGACCTATCCATACAGTAATTGGTTTTCATGAAAATGCATATACATTAATGTCAATGATTGATCAATATGAATATTTTCGTTGTCAATCATTAATATTAGTTGATCCAGCACCGAGAAAATTAATTCGGTAAAGATAATAAAGGACAAAAAACAAAATTATAAATTTTTTTTTTATTTTTGTAGATTTCTTCCATTAGCTAAATTTGCATTTGATTTCGGTCGAATTCCACTTCATTGGCCAGTAGCAAAATATTTTTTAAAAATTCTTGGTTATAAAGAATTATTAAATTATTCTCAACGTGATATTATGGCTGCTTTACGTATTTGGATGCTTGAAGATACATATCAAGTAAAAACAAAAATATGAAGAAATCTTTTTTTGTTTATTCTAATTTTTATAGTATGATGCATATGTACATAATTTATGGTTATCTCGTTTACGTACAATGGTTATTTTATCAGAAGAAGATAAACATCTTGATAGGAAATTATTAGATGCTTTAATTAAAGATTTAGCTGTTGAACCTTTCAATAAATGTAGGTGAGATTATAGAGAATTAGATTGAATACGAATCTTACTTCTCAATGAAATTTTTTCATTTCGAACTTGGCAATTACTCCGAAAAATGCATCATACTTTTTTTTCGATTATTTCTATTCGACAATTAACTTGTCCTATGAATTCCTCAGGCAATCTTATAATTATATAGATATAATTGACACTGTACTTTCAGACTATCATCCATTGGTAGAGACTTGCGGGCGCACGTTTCTGTGGATCCAATAAATTCAGATTCGAGTTTTTTCCCACCAATATCTGTCACTCTCTGTGTACATGAACAACTCAGGCCGATCATTTCGACCATCTGAAACGGCTTAGTTCCTGCCGTAAATGGTGAAAAACGAGGGCCGTTTTCAACCAGCTTTGGGGTCGTAATCCGTCATACCAGATTATGAAGCGCGTTTCTTCGGAACGGAAACGACACCGTTTCGTGTCCAAAATACACCGTTATTTGACGGCCACATTTAGTTTGTCGAAATGAGCTAAAAAAATAGAACCTATTGAAATCTGAGCAATATTGGCAGAGTTCAAAAGTTCCTAATATAATAGTACAAGATCTAGGGAGAACTTGTATATTCAAATAGTAATTGCTGCGGTTTTGATAAACAAAAAATCAATAATCTACGCGCTTGCATCTGTTGTATGATGCATGAACAAAGGATTTTGACTAATACACGAAATAAGGTGAAATACCGGCGAAAAATGATTGCCGTTTCCGATGGTACGTAAACGACCACTATAAAAGGCCACCATTTACCGCATTATTTAGATGTTTTATGATGTGTCGTAGACGGCCATAGTACTTTTAGCCATTATATTCGACC